TTTTTTTTTTTTTTTACAAAAAACAAAGCTCCATCTATTGGTGGGGAGCAACACCTGCTGGAAACCAGGTCCAGCGTCCCATAGATACAACCATATCCTCACAAATTGGCACGAACTGGGAACCGGGCCCAGTGTCTAATAACGAGTACATTCAGAAAACTCATCAGGAAATTTCATGAAAGTGAGACTAAGAACCTATTAGAAAACTCCAATTGGCCTAAGGATGGAATTTTGAAAATTAAGATACCGGGGCCATTACCCGGTGTTGGCTCAGAGAATTGGGGCTACTTCAGACCTGTCTATGACACCATCATGATTCAGAAACGACTTAGACGAATCTCCCATCAATCCACTTTACCTCCCTCCAGTAAGACTGACTGCAGCGGAGCCACCATCTCTGCTGTTGCTATACCATACTCCCATCCTACCAGCTAGCCCCCTCACTGGTAGGACGCGTGATAACCCACAATCTTCTCCCACTCTCCGTATGTTTTTTTCCAAAAAATAAAAAGGAAAATTAGAGAAACGAAAATCAGAGTTGAACCACCATCAATCCAAACCAAACCCACACTACAGGCGAGAAACCGTCACTCAAGCTTTCAGTCCCCGTACCAGAAGTCACCAGTTCTCACACCCCCCTTGCTAGGGTTACAAGGCGACACAAGCTGCCCCAACACCGAACTGACTGTTTTCTGACGGACAGGAAGCGTCTTTCTCCCTCGACACTTCCTTAGCTGCCAAAACCCCTACCGGGTTACAGGGCCACTGCCCCAGATTCAGCTACGTTGAAAGAGGTGGTTATGCGTTCCACCCTCGACAAGCTCCAATGACCTCAAGCTCCTCCCATGGTCACAAAGCCACTTCTCCAGCACCGGCCACTGTTGCCCCATCCCGTCCTTCTAATAGACTTAACACTCTGAGCCACCCTTCCCCTCCTGCATGAGCCCACCCAAAATTTCTTCCAAATCATGCTTCCGATTTCGCTCTCCATTTGAAAAAACAGAAGGAGGAAACCACTAACAATCCGACTCTTACCTTCACCGCCGATGAAGGACACGCCGATCCAGCTTTCAGTCCTCGTACCAGAACTCGTCAGATCTCATACCCCCTTATTCGGGTTACAAGGCAACACAAACAACCCCCAGTACCGATCTGACTGATTCTGACGGACAGAGAGTGCCTTCCCCCCTCGACACCTCTCTTAACTGTATGGCCCCTCAAAAGGTTATAGCGTCACCGCCCCAGCAACAGCTACGTCGGGCGAGATGGTTACGCCTTCCACCCTCGGCATAACTTCAATGGCCTCAAGCACCCCCTGGTCACAGAGCGAATGCTCCAGCACCGGCCAGTGTCGTCCCACCCCACCCTTCTGGTTAGACTTACCTCTCTAAACCGCCGGTCCCCCTTCTAAGTGAACCACCCCCCCC